AATATAAACCGTAATCTATTAGTATCAGAATTCGTGATAATTCCTTAATTTGTTTACCTTTCAGGTAAATCTTACTTAACATTCAAGGGATTAGATTTATCACAAATATAATAAACTGTTGGAGAACGATATGAACATCCGTCCGTCTGTCCGTTGAACAAACGATCAGTTGACTAGGCGACTCGCCCTGCCAATTACGTTTTAGCTAAATTAAATTTCAAGTTCCGACGAGGACAAATTTATTAATTGCTTTACTATATACTAGTGACTCGACCAGGCTTCGCACAGGTAAATAGTTGCAATTATTGTATGGATCTCTAATTTTTTTTTTGTAAATAACATACAGTCATCGTCATCATTCATCACTTTAGCCATTATTGGTCCACTGTTGGACATAGACCTTCCCGATAAACTGCCATAAGGAACAGTCCTGAGCCACTTGCATCCACTGACTACCTGCAATACATTTCAAGTCGTCACTCCATCTAGTGGGGGGTCGTCCTACACTGTGTTTGCCACGGGTTCGCCACTCAAGAACCTTGCTTGCCAAGCTGACGGCTCACCTAATGTAAAGTGCTAACCGTCGCCTATAGACATGAGCAGTACCATGGACATAACAGAGTATACTGTTTCGCCCATGATAACCCCCATGCGTTGCCATTCCTGAGGACTCAGGTGTTATTCCTCTATACCCTGTAAATTCACTGCCATATCCCACCCTTCAAACCGAAACACAGCCATGCAAACACAACTGCTTCACGGTAGAAACACGAATGGGACAGAGGTACCCAAGCAATGTTTTTTTTGATATAGTAATATTTTGTGTGTTTAAGTATTTATTATTTATTTATTTAACATTTTAGGTGTATGCTTATACACCTAAAATGTTAGATAATTTTCGGCCAATTCAAATGTACCATTTCTTTTTTTTTTTCAATTAGAAATAACTTAAATAAACGCTTGTAAAAACAACTCGACTGTAAATCCTTTTACTGGAACAATAGTAAACCATCAAATAAAACAAAACAATGCACCAGTAATCCGTTATAGAACAAAACAGTAATTAGAAAGTGTTAATTTATAATCTTTTGTCTGAATTCTTGAACGGGCGGCGGGCACTCAATTAAGCTCTCTTAAATCCAATCTATGCCATTGCTCTAAGGCAGTCTAAGATGAGTTAAACCAATTTTACTCAGACCAAGTCTAAGTTAATAAGTTGAGACGGCTAAATCTAAGACAAACTGACATTCAAGGGGTTTTTTTATGCAACTTTGAATGGCAAACAAGCTGACGGTCCACCTGATGGAAAGTGGTATACATTGCCTATAGACATGAGCAGTACCGTGAACATAAGTGCGTTGCCATTCCTGAGGACTCAGGTGTTATTCCTTTGTACCCTGTAAATTCACTGCCATATCCCACCCTTTAAACCGAAACACAGCCATGCAAACACAACTGATTCATGGTAGACACACGAATGGGACAGGGTTCCGTGCTATAAAAAGAAATAACTCGAAACTTACCATAGTATCATGATGACCGCTCAAACTATGGAATGTACTCCCTGGGGATGGGCAGCAGCGTCCCTTGGAATATCACCAAAGCCTAACTGCTATTGCCAACACCCGCCTACTAACAAATATCTGGGGGCAAAGGGATTGTTAGCAATGGAGTTTGCCAGCCCCATTGCTAGCAATATGCCCTATTAGGTCGACCTCCACGTGGTTCCCCCTGGAAACTATCGTGGTTAATTCTTGTTGAATTCTTCACGATGGGCCGACTGACCTGCCTTTATCTTCACTTGTCAACTATCACTGGTGCCTCGCCAGTGTATACCGATAGCGCAGGCGGGGTTACCATTCCTTTATCACCCATTAAAAAAAAAACACTCGCCTACAAAGCGTGGCAGCTACCATCAAAACTCTCATTGTGGAAAAAGCCTATTTTTTTTTTTTTATACCACTGAGGTGGCAAACAAGCATACGGCCCACCTGATGGTAAGCGGTTATCGTAGCCTATGAACGCCTGCAATACCAGAGGTATTACGCGCGCGTTGCCGACCCTGAAGAAACCTCTTTATGGGCAGCCCCCTTTTGAAGAACCCCATGCTGTAGTCTCTCGGGAAAACCTCGGCAGGGAGCTCATTCCATAAACTGAGTGTTCGTGGGAGAAAGCATCTCTGAAACCGCGTTGTACGCGACCATTTAGGCTGTAAGGTATGAGGGTGAACTCCCTGCCGATGGCGAGCCGTACGATGATAGAAAGTGGCCGTAGGCATCATATTGAATAATTCCTCTGAGCACAATCCGTTGTATAAGCGGTAGAACACGCAGAGTGAGGCAAAATCTCTCCTAAGACTTAAGGGTTCGATACCGCTTGCAAGCATGGGATCATCGACAATTCTCATAGCTCGTCGTTGCACTGAGTCGAAGGGTTCAAGCTGGTATCTAGGTGCTCCCGCTCATAAGTGACAGCAATACTCCATATGGGGCCGGATTTGCGATTTGTAAAGCATTAATCGCTGATCCGGCGTGAAGTAATGCTTCGCTCTATTGAGCACACCGAGTTTTTTGGATGCCAGCTTCACCTTATCTTCGAGGTGGCCACGGAACTGTACGTCACTAGAGATGTCGACACCAAGGATCCCAATGCTTTTAGAGATGTTAAGAGACGTGCCTTGGAACTGTGGGGCCACAGCAAATGGGGTTTTTTTAGCGGTGAACGCGCAAGCTTGTGTCTTAGAGGGGTTAAATTGGACCAAGTTTTGTCGTCCCCAATCAGAGACTCCAGTTAGTGTTTTCTCGATTTCAGACACAAGCTGTTCACGATTGTTCTCCACGATGGAACGGGAGACATTGGTACGACCCGTATAAAGGGCATCCCCGGTGCTGTCATCCGCATAACAATGAATGCTACCGAAGGTTAACATATCATTAATATGCAGTAGAAACAGCGTTGGGGACAGCACAGAGCCCTGCGGGACGCCTATGTCTAATAGTGGGCAGTTAACGACTGATTTAATAATAATAAATTCATGACGGTGCACATTGGTAGTTTTCAGTTTATAATGAGATTTTTTTATAGGTGCGAAGCAAATTATACAGTAATGTATTTACACTATTCTGCGTTCTAAATTTAAATATTTAAAATCTATGTGTCTATGAAACAGTTCGCCGTTTGTTGGCGAGTTTTATTCGTTTTAAAATAAGAATAGTGATGTTACTAGCCAATACTAATTTTGTCACGATTAAAGTCACTGTATTGTTAGTTCATATATTTGTTTTTTATTTTATTTTTTTTGTTTTGTGCTTTTTTATTTTCATTCTTTTATCTCTTTTATTGTATTATTATGTGTATGTTTTTTTTTTTATTGTAATTTGTGTGCTGTAAGTAATGTAAATAAATTATCTATCTATTTTTCAATCGACTTCAAAAAAGGGTCTCGATTCGGTTGTATCTTTTTTTTATGTTTGTTGCCTCATAACTCCATTAGTTGTAAATCGATTTGGAAAATTATTTTGTTATCTGAAAGGATATACTTACAGATTGGACACGTAGACATTTTATTAAAATCGATTCAGTATTTTAGTTTGTAAATGAAAATAATTGGTGTTATCACAATTGAAATAGTATTTTTTGGGACACATTTTTAATTATTATTTATGGGAGATGTAGTAGATAGTATATACATTTTTTCAAGTATTTTTCAAAATACATCCTTATATATATTTTTTTTAATACCGGCAATAGTTTATAAAAAGTTCACGCTTGTCGCTAGAACTGCTCAACCGATTTCAATGAAACTTTGCAAATGTTTATTGCTCAAATTTAAGGGATTTTAATTTTGATATAAAATCAATAGGGAGCCAATAATTTGCTGTGTTAGCTAGTATAATCTCTCTTTTTTTAGAATGGCAAACAAGCTGACGGCCCACCTGATGGGAAGTGGTCACCGTCGCCTACAAACATGAACAGTATTATAGACTTAACAGAGTATACTGTGTCGCCCGTGATACTCCTCATTTGTCGTCATTCCTTAAATATAATTACTACTAATCCGTGACTAGTATACTGTGTCGCCCATGATAATCGTCATGTGTTCTATTCTGAGGCTTAAGGATTATTGATTGCTAATTCATCTTACTAATAGCTGTGTCTATAAATGATGTTTGGATGTTTGTTGTCATTACACTTAAAAAGCTGAATGGAACAATTAAATTTGCGTACAAAAGTAGTTTATTTCTGTCCGTGATACATTGGATGTTGTTATTCCGGAAACAATTTATACTATATTAATGATCCGTGACTAGTCTTCACTGGGTAGATAGAATTTTAATCCTCATGCGTTACCATTGTTGATAAGGCTATATATATATATATATATATATATATATATATATATATATATATATATATATATATATATATATATATATATATATATATATATATATATATATATATATATATATATATATATATATATATATATATATATATATATATATATATATATAGTTTATATTATCGTCACCATAGGGGACTTTACAAACATTGGATGTCCCATTCGTGTTTCAACCATGAAGCAGTTGTGTTTGAATGGCTGTGTTTCGATTTGAAGGGTGGGATATGGCGTGATATTAATGATACAGAGGAATAATACCTGTCTTCAGGAATGGCAACGATGGGGGGTATCATTTTCGAAAAATACTGTGTGTATATATATATATATATTCTATATATAGTTTTACTCCCTTATACATAAAAACTAAAATCTCACACACAAATATATTGTACCTACTGTTTTGTCACTTTCTTTCAAATTGGGAATTTAACTTAAAATAAAGAGACAAAACAGTTTTATAGCTAAAATAGGTTTATTAGAGATTTGAGGTTTTTATGAATAAAGGGAGTTATCCATTACAAGCAAACACACAAACAAACAAACAATCAAATATCCCCTCATTATTATAGATAAAGAAAATAAAAATAAAAAAAAAAATTAGTACTCTCCAACATTTATTGGTCGAAAAATAAATTAAAAACTTTGGATTCCAACAAAGGTCCGAAATCGTACAAATAAATACCTACAGGGACTACACTTAAGTTAACAACATATTTACACGGCTTACCAATACTTAGTAGGTACATTTATTTACCATTCGAACCTCCAAAACTATTTTTACAATTCAATCATACCGAATTTTCGTCAGCAATTTCGTTTTGTTTCGTCGCCGGCGGAGAGCAAACACGAATGGTGCGTTTTGTTATTCCTTTCCAGAAAAAAAATCAATTTAAACATAAATTGTTACTTTTTTTATTATTAAATAAACATTACGTATTCAAAATACGTTTACAGAGGATGAAAATCATTTTTATATTTAACAAAAATGTTCGTGTCTACCCTCGGCGCGTATTCCATATACAAGACTTTTTCAAAATCATAAACAGAAATAAATATGGCCGCTTCATCGTTATTAGCAAATTACATAAACATACAGATGCAAAAAATATATAATATTATAGTACGCTAATCAGTTAAGGCTGTTGTCAATTGTTGCATAGATCTTACCTATTCCTTGAATTTAAAATTAGAAAAATATATTGTTCGAATTTTAAATATGAAATGGAGGGCTCTGTAAAAATTCTTAATTTTTTTTCTCTATAGATATTGACTCCTGTCCAAAGCTTAATAATATTATCTATGGATATTTATATTTTTTTTAACACAGTTAACAAAAGAATCCAATGCACAGAGCTATACTTCAACGGACAACAGTCTTTACGCTGGCTTCTATACCCTATAATAGTAAATTGTTAACCATTTTTCATTATCCAACAAACGTTTTGTAGGAATATTGTTTCTGAAAGTTTTTTTTAGGACCTTAAAACCGTATTTAGTAATGTAAGATGATTATTAGCGATTTTTACTAACATTAAGATTAATTATTTATACAAAAATACCTAAATACTTTTAGAACAGTAAGAGGTAGCTGAAGCTATATAATTTTTTTTTTTAAATCTAATTAATCTTTTTTTTTCGCTAATATTTTAAAACAACTTAAGTACATGGAACTTAATTTAAAAATATATAAATCTTATTTAAAATTAATATAGAAAGAAAAAATATTAAGCCGTCTAGTAGCACCAATTTTTGGAGTTTATAATAAAACTGAAATTGTATATATATTTTTAATATAATAATACTGGATACAAAACACCTACTCCACAGTAATAATATAATATAAAGAGCAAGCAATTAATAATAATTAATCATATTCTGGTGTAAATTAATTTAATTTTATTAGGATATTTATTATCTTTACAAATTCAATTAATCATTTTTATGACAACGCTAATGTAAATAAATATTTAATTTTAAGAAAATATAAATTCACATTATGATGGTTAATTTTAAAAACGATAAAACTCATTTGCAATTTAAATTGTTAGTTTGACGCAATTCTTGGGAGTCGCAATTAATTTACATAAAACATTTTTAATGATTAAATAATTTTAGCCATTATCCAATATTTCATATGGAAAGGAAAATATTAAATAAAATATCCTATGATTGGATTTAAATGATGAAATATGAGAGCTGGTTTTTGCATATTTTTTTTTATAAATTCTCACTCTTGTTATATTTTTTTTATTAACCAGCCAGAATGTAAGGAATAAAAATAAGTTAAAAGTAATATATGTATAGAGGAACATTATTAAATTATAATAAAGGACAATAAAAGTAATATTTACTTTTACAACCTCCGCTGAGCAAATAAATTAATTCTATCAAACTATGCTTGTAAAATCTGGCAATGTTACACTGCGATTTTTTACAAACAGTATATGCATGTGACAAGCGAAAATAAAACTAAATGTATAAGATTTTAGGACGTTTATATATTGATGATAATTTTAAGATTTATGAGGTTTCCTCTTTCAAATTAAGAATATACTTTTTTTTTTTATTTATACTTTTTTGTAGAGAAAAGGGAACGAAGCCCATACAGCTTAGTCTGACGTTGTATTTTTTTTTAATGATTTTTATAACTGAATATTAAATCTTAACTGTGTTTTTAATGAAAATATAGTCTTTTTTTACTTTTTCTATTATTATATATATAAAAGTGAGTTTGTTTCCATGTTCCTTTTTGATGTGTTTTGATTTATTTCAACGTCATGAAATTTGGTATACACGTATTATATGAAATAGAGAAGAACCTATGCTACTTTTAAATTGATTATACGGACGAAGTCGCAGGTAAAAGCTAGTAATTATGTATTACTGATATACATATTATATATCAGTCAGGCTCGCGCTCACAGCCACTCACAACTAAGGGCCCTGAACGGTCCCGAAACTAGTCGACCTTTCTCAACCAAATTACACGTAAGTTAAACTTGTAGTTATTATATTAAAACAGTTATTCTATATACAAGTATTACGCTTAAGAATTAAAACCATTTCTTTAATTAGCTCATTAAATTTGTTAAGTCAATTATTTCGTATTCGAAATTTTCCTTTTAAGCAATTTATTAAACTATAGCTAAATAATTATTTTAATACTTAAATTATTAATTATTATTTAAGTTGATTTTAATCGATCTTTCACATACAGAAAGTGTATTTTGTAACTTTAAGAAATGTTAGTTTATTTTTCGTAAATATGTATAAAAAAAAATCAACGTCCTGCAAGTTTTATGAAATACACGCAGTCAATTTCATTGAAATCCGTTTTTAATCGAATTTGGTACACGAATAGGTTATATCCTTACTTATTGTACACACTGACTCATGCGTACAATACCGCGGGTTACAGTTAGTTGTTTAAATAGTTGATTGATTTTTTTATACAACTTAGAATGGCAAACAAGCTGACGGCCCACCTGATGGAAAGTGGTAACTGTCGCCTATAGTCATGAGCAGTACCATGGACATGACAGAGTATAATGTTTTGCCCATGATACCCCCCATGCGTTGCCATTCCTGAGGACTCAGGTATTATTCCTCTGTACCCAGTAAATTCACGCTATATCCTACCCTTCAAAGCGAAACACAGCCATGCAAACACAACTGCTTCACGGTTGAAACACGAATGGGACAGAGGTAGCCAAGCAAACGACTTTTGTACAAAGTCTCCTCAAAAGAAAGAAGTATTCACTACGACTATATCATTTGTATAATTGTTAAATTATATCTACGCTAATTATGTACCGATTGTGATGTATATTTTTAAAACAGGCTTTACTCTAGATTGATTTAATAATAATTTTTACGATTGAAAGAAATATTTAAAAAAAAATTTAATTTTTTTATTGAATGCATGTAAAGACATCTTTGCCAATTAAAAGAGACTAATACGCAAGTAAAATCTATATCGATATTAAAAAGATCCATTAAAATCGGTTCAGATTTGGCGGAGATATCGCGAAACATACACACGTAGAATATAGGCAAATTTGAGAATCTCATACTTTTTGTAGTTTTTCCAATGGTTTTATTTTTCATATATTACTACTGACTTTTACAAAAGTGACTACCTCTTACGCGCGACTTTATCCGCTTCAACGGGATATATTCCCTGACTGGAATAAACAGCAGCCTATATCCTTTCCCGTTCTATGTAGTATATATACATATATACCAAAATTTTTAGTTATTGTTTAAGCGGTCTAGGCGCTGCGAGCGTCTATTCGAGAATGGGTTACGTCAATTAACATAATGTATAATTTAGTTGAAATTTACTTAACATGTCTCATAAATTATAAAAAAAAAAAAATGTAAGTTATCATTACATAAATCAATAATGGGTTTGCTGGAAGAGAACTCTTTTAGAGTTAAACTCTTCTTTGTACATTTGCTAACCTCTCATATTTTTTTTGTATAATAAATGTGTATAATAAAGTATCAATAAATATTAATAAATAAATACATAAATAATCTTATTTGCCGCTTGTCACACACACATTTGATAAACCAGGCACAATTTATAGGATAGCGCTACCATCTTACATCACTAAACGGTTTTTTTTTTCTCTATTACAACTAATTTTTATATAAAGAAACTTCACAGATAACTTTAGGCTTACATAATATCAATTATTATATGGCATAATCCAACCAGAAATTATATAAAGTGACAATACAGTTGTTGTTTTAAAATTCGCTTAAACTGGACAGGCAAAGAGCATGGCCCATACAGCCTCGTCGTACGTTTCTATTTGTGACAGTACAGTTAGAAACGTCGTTTTTTTTTTTTTATTAGATTGATGCGAGATAATATACAGCTTTATTAATTCATAAACACATGTGTGACCAGTTTAAGGAGCCTTATTATAATTAAGGTTAAGGCGTTACAATAACAAAGCATTTGAGTAGATCATAACATCTAGACGGAGCTAGTGATAAATAGCTAAAAAAAAACAGAATTGTTTACTTTTTTTTATTATAAACAAAGCGCGCCGTTTTTCAATGTTCACACACACAAATCTTGTTTAAAATTATGTATGGTCTTTGGATAGAAATTCACTTCTGTATCAATAGAAAAGATAAAGACTGTTTGTTGAAGTATTTGTGGAGAGATACTCCATCTAGTGTATGATCTATGATTCTTTGTTTTAATATTGTCATAGAAATTGCCTTTAGGTAATAATAATTAAATACAAAGAGCAAACATATTTCTTATTAATTTGGATGAAATAATTATTGCAATTCATTCATAATTTACAAATAAAACTAATATGACAATATACTTAATTAATATATTAGAATAAAAGTTCAAATCAAATCGTAAGAAGTAATTTGATTATCTATAAGCAATCTCATATTAATAACAATAATGAATATGGAATTGTTATGTTCACAATTAGCATATTTATTGTACAATAAAAAACAATGTTTTTCATCTTAATTTTTAACCATAAACAAAAATATTTGACATTTTTCATAAACAAACTTTCCCGCTGCGATTAAAACAAAATAGTCTATGACAGATACAAACGTCAAAGTCATTTGTATGCGAATTACAACTTTGATGTAGGTAAATTGATGCGTTCCGTTGTGGTACAACATTAATTCGGTAAGACACGAATCAAAATTGAGTTGTTTGTATCACCAACATTCAACTATAGTGAGTCACTGCTTCATTTCTGGTTGGAGAACACCTAAAAGTTTAGTAAGTTTAAATACAAAATTACTCTCATTATACACTAGCGGACTGATTTTCGAGATTCAAAAAATGAGGTTTTCATTTTTTTTTTAGTTAATTAGGCAATAATTATTCTAAGTACACAGCACAACTAATTGAAAAACTAATGAGAGAATATGTTAAAATGTCGGTAGCGATTGAGTTGCAAAATCTGTGTTGACCGTTAGCAGTTTGCAATTTGCGATTGGCGCGTTTAGAGAAATATCTGTTTAAGCTTATAGTAATGTTGTTCAAAGATAAAATAATTAGTATACTTTATTAGTTATTATTTATAGCGGTCTTATTGCTGAGAGCAATCTTGCGAGACACGAGTAATTGTTGTACAAGTAGGTATGATGTCATCCTGTAACACCAATGTCACATGCGCATTACCGACTCTGAAGGAACTTAAAATACTCCTTTTGAAGAACCTCATACTGCCGTCTCTAGATAAAACCCAGGCCAGAAGGATCATTATCTAGCTTGAGTGTATATAGGATAAAACTCCACGAAAATCGAATTGTACGCGACTATTTAGATTTTAGCTTGTGAAGATGAATCGATGGTGAGCATTGTGATAGTGAAAGATAGACTTATTACGAAAAACAAAAACTAATTTGAAGTTATCGATTGACGATATAGTTTCGTGTTATGTTAGGTAGATAATGAATTTTTTATTTATAGCCCAAAGTATATTCATATTGTTTACTATATTTCGGCTCTATACAATACGTACAATTTTCTTTTTGAGCTTTTTTTAAGCTCACCTGATTATAAGTGACTACCGCTGCCCATGATCACCTGCAATACCCAGAGGCATTGCAGGTGTGCTGCCGGCCTTTTAAAAAGGAATATGTTCTTTTCTTAAAGGTTGTTATGTCGTAATAGTACAGAAATACTGTTGCTAGAAATTGATTCCAAAGACGGGTTGCACGTGGAAGAAAGGGCCTTGAAAAACGCACGATTAGGGACCGCATCTCATCTAGATGGTTGGGATGGAACTTCAATTTGTGGCGGGTTGTATGGTGGTGAAAATCAGCAGCAGGTATCAATCCGAACAATTCCTCAGAGCACTTCCCATGATATATTCATAATAGAAGACCAAAAATTATACAGAAATGCTTTCAAATTCCCATATAGGTGTTCGTTATTGGCATGCGGCGCACGTCCATGATATCGTAGTGAACACTTAAAAGCATCTCCATACATTTTGCAACTACAACTGCACACATTTTGCTTTCCTATTGTATCGCGACTCAGGCTATGGTAAATTATTAAAACTCCTTCTAGAATTAATTGTATTGCTAAAAACTAAAAGGGTTCTGGTGTTAGCAATAATGCTGATTTTATTTTATTGAACTAGATTTTGAGGAAGTCCATATCATTGGTTTGTCATTTGAAGTTTGACTACTAACTATCAGTTTCACAGAAGTTCTACGACCCTCCATATTAGTCATCAATGTCCGACCATTATCCGGTCCAATCACATATTGCGGCACGTGTTTCACCTATAAATGAGGTATCTTTAAAAAAATCTTCAGGCAAATTAATACATCTCTCGTAACTTACTTTTGTCCGTTTGGGATGCTATAAAATTAAATAAATTAAGAAACTCAAACTCCTATTTATGGGGAAGGCTTATGTTTTGTAGTGGAGAGTTACCGGCTGATATGAAGTTGATGATGAAGAGACTCAAGGCTACAAGGTACTTGGCAATAAACTCATTCTCGTAATCTTAAAACCAAGGATAAGTTGAGAAAAAGCAGACAATTATGTCTTTATTATTATTAAATAATACTGCGTATTTACCAAGTTTAAAGGCTGAGAAGTTTAAAAAAATAATAATAAACGTATCACTATAGAAAACTGCAATTATTGATACGTGTGCAATAGTCGTCAGTTCCTTAAGAATTTACTGGAATAAAACCTTAAATGACAGTAGTAATGTAACGAGAGACTTGGCATAGCCTATCTTCTCTACAAATACCTAGTGAAGTAGCTATGAAAAGAGAAATACGAGTATAATTTCGAAACAAATGCAGAAAGTGATGTTCTTAGATCGTCGTCGAAATGCGTATTTACCACAAATATACAGCAAAAGAGCTGTGAAAAGAGGACGATTATATTTATTTTAAAAGGTAATAATAATAATATACTGGGAAAAATTAAAATTAGTATTATTTTTAATTGTATCGCTGAGTACACGGCTCACCTGATGGTAAACAGTGAGCGTAGCCCATGAACGCCTGTAATATCAGGGGCATTACGCGGGCATTGTCGACCCTAAAGAAATGTTTTTATCCCTTTTTTGAAGGACTCCATGCTATATAGTCTCTTGAAAAAACCAAGACTTATCTGCCGATCGTATATCATTCCATAACTTAATTGTTCTTGAGAGGAAACATGGCGACGGTAGAAAATGACACGTGGGCATCGTATTGAATAACTCCACTTAGCACAGTCCGTTACACAAGTGGTAGAACACGTAAAAAGAGGCAAAATCTTTTCTAAGATTTAAAGATTCGATACCGCTTGTAAGCCTGGGCTCGACAATTCTCATAGCTCGTCTGAGTTGAAGCTGGTATCTGAATGCTCGCGCCCATAAATGCGAGCAATACATTTTAAGTATTCTACCAGGGTAATAAAAAAAAAAAGATGGTAACCTTTGAGCTTCCCGTATTACGCTATATTTTTTGTCGTATATCCTATTTATTTCTTGTTATAGTTTAATATGCATTCAATTTAATTTTTTAGTATGTAACATGCGACTTAATTGTATAAGATTACGTTAAAAAGAAACACTTTGCATTAAAGTAGGCCAGTTATCAAAATTGTTTATTGCAAAGGTTGTAAATTACCTGACGTAGGCTATTCACAATATTTTTTAACATCATTTATTACAACAGTAAGAAAAGATGCCCATAAAAGTACTGACTGGGTAATAAACATGAAGTGAAATAGAAAAACATGAAACAAGAGCATATAAAAGAGCATGAAACGTAATAAAATTTTTGATTTGCCAAATGATCATAATATCATAGATAAGTTAAAAAATCTTTATCATCGTTACATCAGCCTTTTACTGTATACTGCTGAATATAGATCTCCCCCTTTGGGGGTTGCCTATAGTTGTCACGCTTGGCAATCGAGTTGGCACCCGCAGTTAGGCATTGGTAAAAATTTAAGAGGGACTCTGCTACCCATCTTTCGATCATTAAATTTCCTTAATCGCTTCTCCTCGTCGACACCCACGGGAAAGGAAGGGGTGGTCTATTCTTTGCCAGGGCCAAACGGCTTTAGCAAGTTACAAATGCTATAAAAAAATAATACAGAAAAGATGTCTACTGTGCAATATTAAATTCTTGTTGAAGGAGTAGGTCAGATGTTCCCAATAAATAAATGAGAAACATCAATTTCTCTGAAATTAGACTCTTTGAAGTCATGATTAGTTAAACTGTGTTACAGTTCTAAAATCGTGCAGCTAAACTGAAAATCATCATATCATTTTCTAGTTATCTTTTAAAATAAAATACCCGGATGGAGATGTTGGGAGCGTGATTAATAGAACGATATGATTTATAAACTGGCTTCAAATTATAGCAACACGACTAAATCCAACGCTGCGGACAAATCCAAATAAATTGCTTTCATTTTTCATTGTTCTTTTATCGACGATGCTTAATAGTGTCTATTTAGGATATAAAATTTTGAGACATAGTGTCAGTGTTATAATAAATATAAATATAAAACAAAAGTCAAGAAAACAAAACCCGAGAATGGAATAGAAACTAGAAAAAAATACTGGAATGTTGAATTAACATAAAACAACGTTTCGTTGAACTCGAGTGAAATAATGTTGAAAGTCATTTTACAAAATATGGAATACTTGAAAAACCCCTTCAAGCTAATCTTGAAATAGCCAAAAGACGAACTAAAACAACGCCTGTACCCCGAAACGCTTAAGCAGACATTTAACTGTTTAGTTTAAAATAAAAATAGAACCGCTCAGTATGGAAATGGAAGGAGAAGGTAACCGACCCAACATAATAGGTGGCAGACACAAAATAAGTTTATTTTCAAATCTTTTGTTTAGAAAACAATGCATTAGGACTTGTCAGATGTGTGTTACCGTGTTCGAATGATATAGAACTTCTTTCATTGCATCTGTTTTATTTATAGTATCAGTTTTTCTCTTAAATTTATGTTTATTACATTTGAAAAGAATTTGTTACTTTGTCCAGCTACTACAGAAATGCTAGAAATATTTAGGCAGTTAGCATTTTTCTTATAATTTATATTTAAATAGACGTTTAGATTAATAGATAGATATCAGTGAAGTTTGAATTCCTAATATTATATGTGTGTTTACTGTTTTAAAGAAAGACTACCTTTGCTTTTTAGCAGTTTACGATTCAAAGTGAATAAATTTATTAGCAAACATTATTTTAATAGGTTTTCGCGGAGATAACGAGATGTGATTAGCATTAGCACCATCTATCCACAATTTTGTTAAGCTCAGTTAGTAAAGGTCAATGAACGTTGTGATATTGAATGAAATCTGCCACGGATTCGTTCCTTGAAATTGTTAGAGTCATTAGGTTTTTATTTTACGGCTGTAGATACTGTTAGTAAAATAAACAGTGGTACAGTTAAATATATTATGAAGTAAGTTATTAATAAATTTGTTACCATAGTTTTTATACCATATTTTATGGCGATCCTGTCGTGTTATTTAACTGTCGTGTGTATATGAATATTGTTTTATCATTTTTCTGAGAATTTCACTATCGTTAGTAGAGTTGATTGTTTTATTTAATAAGTTTTTATCATTAAATACTTTATTGAATATTTATATATGTATTACAGATATATCAATCAACTGAATATTTTTTCCAATATCAATTTCAGTAAATAATACGGATTTGTCTCATTTGACGAGAATTTTATAATCTTAAAGTTTACTCGTTAATCATAAAATGCCATTAAAAAGAGATGTAACAACTGTATCCTATTTCAAAGACAAACTATGAAGAAAGTAATTAATTATGTTGACGCCAAAAAAACTCTGTAAGTTTATCTTGTTGCAATTAATTTACATCATCTAGATTTAGATAAGTTATTTAAAAGCTCATAAATCTCATATCATTGTGGTCATTAATAGAATTTGCAACTCAATCGCTTTTTTCTTAGGCTACCTAAAATATACTGTCACTAAATGCGTATGGCTAACTGAAAACCGGTCTATTTTAACTACATTAACTATTTGACTATTTTGTAATGTATAAAATGATCTCACACAATTATAACATGGCATTATCAGTACAGTTGTATTTGCCCAAGAATTTCATCATTATGTTGACTGATCATATGAGAGAGACTCTCTAACTCTCACTCTAAAATAGTTTTTGTATTTAAAATGTTCAAAATAATTTAAATTATAAAAAAATCTATGATTAAATCAAATTTATCCAGATTAGGTTAATTTGAATTATTTAAAATTGTGAATCAAATGTACTTAATACAATTGATTAGTGTAAAATATGATTTTACACTGTAATTCAGTCAACATTTGTGAAAATCTAAAATACTGTATCAATAATAACTTTACTGAATGTAGCAGGTTGGCTGTCACAGAAAACATATTCCTGAATCATGGGTTACATAGCAATTCCTAAGAACATACTGTTCTTTAAGATTTTCCATCATGGTGGCATATGATTATTTACTATTCAATGTGAAAAGTAACAAAAAAGCTGAAATGCAGAATCAGTCAAGTGAAATATTAAAATAATGAAGATTAAAATACTTTACGTTTTTTTTTTTTTTTATAATACATAAAGTTTTATATCACATAGGTTAAGCATATAAGAGAAATTACATCACTAAATAAAACCAAAAATCACAGTTTCCCTGGACAATATTTGCCCTACGTTTCCTTTTTAATACAGATAAATAAATTCTAATTGTACATAAAATTGTAGGGAAAAAAGGAAAAGAATGTCTTTTGAACTAAATTAAAAGCTACCTATTTTTCGTTTTTAAAGATTTTTTTTTTTTCCCCTATAACTGTACTCGATTCATGGAGAATCCTAAGTCTTAATCAAATATTCGTGTTATTGAAAATATAAAAATTATTTAATCCCTAGTGGTTTAAGAAATCTATATTACCATATACATGTTAACATTCTTTATATATATATATTTTAACTGACTCAATAACTACATTTCTCGCAGTAGCCCTGCTATGAAAATGAACTTCCATTGTATATATATTAGTTCAATTAATTAATAGGCCTGATATAATATCTAGTACAGTAGTCAAAATTAGGCTCTCAAGTTGTCCCTTACAGGCTAAATTTCTCGGAACTTCTGATGGAACATGGGTTTTTGCACGTCGCAACACACACAGCGTTTCGGCACCAATCTTCAGACCCAATCTTGATATCTACCTTATTTATGTACTTACAAATCCATTCATAATCCAAACAATCCACAATCCTTGGGGCACTTTGCCACTACACTAAAACACAGTTTAGCACAGGTTTTTCAGGTTAGCACTTCACGTGAAGACTAGAGTGTCGGGGCGCAAATGCACCGATTGCAATGTCTGAGTAGTGTGGGCCGGACACGGCTTAGCTAGCAAGTCGGGACGCTGGGGTCGCGCCGCCCTAGCGCACATTCACCGAGCCAGCGGAGCTAGGACGGCCACAGCAGCAAGAGCCAGCGCCAGGGATGAGGCTAAGGCAGCACCTCGCGAGTACGACAACTCCTCGCTCTTCACCACCTCGTTCTGAGTCTTATCATATTTGTGCGTCTTTTTCGTCACTGGCTTTATTGTTGTCGTCGTTGTAGTGGTCGTAGTGGTACTGGGTGGAGGTGGTGGTGGAGGAGGGTATGTTGGCTGCGGCGGTGGAGCCGGAGACAGCTCCTCGGGCTTGCAGCAGACGCGGAACACGAGCTTCATGTTGTCGGTGAGACAACGGCCCCCGATGCGTCTATGCAAGTCGTCCTTGCTGGATGTGGATATGAAATAATAGTCCTTCCCAGGCAAGAACTCCAGCCCGCCCGGCTGAGGCGTGAACGGTCGGAAAGTTATAGTGAAAAACATCAGTTTGTGCGGTTTATCACATACAGCTATGATCCTTGGGTTAGGATTCGTTATCCTACACGTATCGTACTCTTCTTTACTAACATTGTATATTATATATTTTTCTGTGTCCTCCTCGAAAGTCCCCGGTGCGTACACGGGACATATAATATTAACCTGATCGTATTCGAACTGAGCATTACCTTTATTGAGATCGAATACGTGATCTGTGTTATCTATCCGAAATATACTATTAGTTGTGTTCCAATGAATATAGAAAGACTTTGCGTAATTGCCCATTACGCTTTCAATGATGAACATTAGCACTAAGAAGGTCCAAGGCGTTTGCCGGAGTCCGAAATAAGCGAGGGACACCATTCTGAGTCTTTTATTCAACTCGCATTATCCGATCGAAGACGCTGTAGCACCTCAATACAAAAGGCGTAACTATGCTTTGTCGTGTGGCCTGTACGCGCACCAATCCATATTTACATCAACAAACGTTATTTCCTATAGAACACCATTGTAAAACATGCACAATTCACACATGAAACGCAAGTAATCCGTTCAATTTCGACACTGCATCGGTGTGTCCACCATGTTCGTCCATAAGATTGTGTTCGTCGATAAATGTGGAATTCCTACGTGGCCCGCCGTGAAACGCGTCTAAACGAGCATTTGTAACGTTAACACACGCGTTTATGGTTCACTTATGTATGATACAACACATTTCCATTCGTTATAAGTTGGAATTAATCAATACATCACAGATTTTTTGCAATACTGAGGTGTTCTTTGTATTGGAAGAGAGACGCGGCGACGGTTCTTGGCGTAAACGCCGCGCGGTTGGGCACCGAACTATTGGAATGCGACCGGGCCCCGCTACGCATGCGGCGAGGCCCCCCTCGCGTCTCGGCACACCTCGCCCCCCTTACGGGCGCGTTCAAGCTCGCCACGAGCTTTCGCGTACACCGCCATTTTGGAAGACCCAATTGACAGTTCTTTTTTTAATTTACACATACATTTAAATTGCTTTTTATCTTCCTTTAAATTTTAATAAAGAAAATATTTAAATTTAGAATATTTATAAGAACATTTGATTTTAAAGCATGATATTTTTTTTTAAGTTCAAATGAACGCGTCCAATTCTCCATTGAAAAAAGTGCAACGCTCGAAACAAGATCTTATAGGGATACCAGCCAGTTCTCTGTCCCATAGGGTTTTTTTGTTAAGTTACGCGTGTAGACTATTAGACGCGAATTTAATGTTTTTTTTTTATAACTTGTCTCTGATTTATTGGTGACTATTCTAATTAAAAAAAAAAACGGTAGTAGTGTCAAATGGTATCTAAACTGTTAGATGTATGAATTAATTTTTGTTTGGTCAAAAATATGTACCACCCACTTTTTTATCTCTGATTACCTTATCAGTAGCTTATCAATTATGATTAGGTGCGATAAATAATTCCGAAACTGGATTGGTCGGACAAATATTTTATCAGATACCTAGAAAATTTATTTACAGAGTTCTTAAAACTCTAATACCTTTTTTTTTTTAATATTTCTTTTTTATTTAGGGCATTTTATATATATAAGTCTACTCTTATTATTTATTATTTATTATTGTAATCATCAAATGTGATGAAACCAGTTAATTTGTTTTATAATAATAATTATATATATATATATATATATATATATATATATATATATATATATATATATATATATATATATATATATATATATAAACAAATATTTTATATATATATATATATATATATATATATATATATATATATATATATATATATATATATATATATATATATATATATATATATATATATATATATATAGTAAGGGATGATAAGTGAGAATGAATGCAGTTAGCCCATCGTGATGAATACAACACGATGGTTTTCAAGGCGAACCACGTAGAGGTCGACCTGACAGGGTAGTTTGTATTACTAGCAATAATTAAAAGGTGGTTTGTGCGTTCGTTTATTTGTTTGAACGTAAAGTCTCTTTTCTATAAGTAGTCAATTACATTTTATTTCATAAATAATTAAAGATTTTGATAAATCATGACAAAACCAAATATTTTTATTTAAAAATTAAACTATTAGACTGATTTTGATAAAATGTCTATGGAATCAATCTGACAGTAATGTCCTATCAGATATAAAAAGGAATTCACAGTATATATTGTTTTTTTTTTCTTTAATGGATGATAATGGAATGGTAACCCCACCCGCGCTATCGGTATACACCGGCGGGGCACCAGTAAAGGATGATAGGTGAGGATGAAGCAGGTCAGTTAACCCATCCTGACGAATTCAACAAGAATTGTTCACGATGGTTTCCAGGGGGAACCACGTGGAGGTCGACCTAATAAGGCATATTGCTAGCAATGGGGCTGTCAAACTTCATTGCTAACAATCCCTTTCCCCCCAGAATATATCGTTAGAGAGATATAAATATATATTTTGCTACCCACCCTTAGCTGCTATACTCCTTATCAGCACGTACCACTTACCTAGTTTAGAATTTCTATACAATTCTAAATTTAATTAACTCATTTAGCGTGATATTGTAATCCCATTTTGGTAGTGGGCTCTAGTCTACGAAGTACTAAATGGATAAGTAAAACAACTCTAATAGGTATTAAAATGACACGGCTTTGTGAATCAGAGCGGAAAATGGGACGGCCATTTCGTGTACACTGTGTTTTATTTAATGTTTTATACGATGTTTCCGATTTTAATTAATTTTTTTCTTGAGATATTTAAGAGTAATTCCAACATATTTTGTTTTTTTAGCGTTTTAAGATTGTTAAAATTTATTTATTAATTTTATTAACATAAATTTGACAAACTAACTAACTATATATTGCTACTTTTTATCGAAGATAGATTTGTCGAAGATGTTAAATACTAGTACGTTGGTAATAAACAAAAAACAAACAAACAAAATTCAAAAAATACTTTTGGAGGAAACAATAAAGAGTATCTATCTATCTACAGTCCAATTAAGAATCTCGTTAACTTTTTGAAATCGATTAAAAATCCAGATGAATTTAGAACTTCCTTTTTTAAATCATTTAATAAAAAAGAAATAAAAAAAACCGACCAAGTGCGAGTCGGACTCGCACAACGAGGGTTTCGTACAAAATCATCAAATTTAAAATGTTTTTTTGTGAAATAACTACAAATTTATAGTTTTCCCATTACATCTGTTACATAACATTGCTTCTTACCAAATTTCATGATTCTAAATCAACGGGAAGTACCATATAGATTTTCCTTTCCTTTGCAAATATCAAAATATGCGATATAAATGGAACATAAACGGCCGTATCTTTTGATTGCGTCGATTTTCAAACTTGATTTTTTCACTGCTTTAAGAGATTGCAGACTTAAATATATGATATTAATTTCAACTTGATACCTTCACGCGTTCTTAAAAAAAGGTTCTTGACAGACGGACGGACGGACAACGAAATGATCCTATAAAAGGGTTCCGTTTTTTCCTTTTGACATACGGAACTCTAAAAACATTTAAAGTGCCCTATGATTATGCTAAGCCTCCCAAAGTGCGTAGACCGTGATTTTGACGCTTATCAAGTACGTAGTATAAATAGGATATACGTACTTACAAAACTGACAACAATGTGAGTAAATATTGAAATAGATGTACGACATGTAGATAAAACGATAACTATGTTTATTTAAATATTACGTTTATAGGGGATTTGATATCCGCTCATTGCAACAGCGGTTGGTTCATATAATATTTTTAATACGTTTTTAAGCTCCGCTGACAATTTTTTTTTTTGATGGATGATAATGGAATGGTAACCATGCCTGCGCTATCGGTATACGCTGACAGGGCACCAGTAAGGGATGATGGGTGATGATGAAAAGGCAGGTCAGTTAGTCCATTGTGATGAATACGTTTGGAATTCAATACGATGGTTTCCAGGGGGGACTATGTGGAGGTCGACCTGACAGGGTATATTGCTAGCAACAGGACTGGTAGATCGCATTACTAACAATCCCTTCGCTCTGCTGATAATATTGTTACAGTTTTCAATCGACTTTAAAAAAAATTGAAGATTTTTTTATACAACTTAGAATGGCAAACAAGCTGACGACCCGAGGCTGACGGACATGAGCAGTACCATGGACATAACAGAGTATACTGTTTCGCCTATGATACACCCCATGCGTTGCCATTCCTGAGGACTCAAATGTTATTCCTCTGTACCTTGTAAATTCACGCCATATCCCACCCGTCAAACCGAAATACAGCCATGCAAACACAACTGCTTCACGGTTGAAACACGAATGGGACAGAGGTACCCAAGCAATCGACTTTTGTACAAAGTCTCCCTCTGGTAAACGCGAATGGTGTCCAATAAAAAAACCGACTTCAATTGTGACAACAGCAGTTATTTTAACTTAAAAACTAAACTAATAAACCGATTTAGATATATATATATTTTTAAGTTGTAAGTATATGCTTTTGAATAGAAAAATAATGTTCTAAATCCGTTTAGAATTGATGGGGTTATGACGTAACTGTGGGCTCGCCACGTTGGGCATCGAGCGTTTACGCCACCTAACCAACACTGAAAAAAAAATACAACCGAAATGCGAACCTCTTTATTTTTAAAGTCGGCTGAAAATAACAAAATATTTTCGTCTCCTTTTTGCAAATTATTCTTCGCAAATGATATTATAATCATTTTAAACCGACTTCAAAATAGGCGGAGGTTTTTAACACTTCTTTGCACGATTTCTTTTTATTGGTGAAATAAATCAAGGTGATTATAATTCATGTTCAAACTTAAAGGAAAAATGGTTAAAAAAATAAATTTGACAGCTATGTTTTTTTTTCTGCAATGGACATTAAAAAGGTATCCAGACACGATCAACTTAAAGTGAACTTGTTCTTTTATATAATTTTTGGGCATTCAATGTTATGATGGAAATTTTCACCATTATGCAAAGAAGGGTTAAATCATTCTTATATTTTTATATTTGCTACAAACACCAAAACCTTCCAACTACTGCACTAAATTCGATGAGGTTTTCACAGTTATATTCCTGTAGGTCTAACTTAAAAATAAACAGTATTGATTACAAAAAAAAAAGTTTCAGAGATATCGCGTAACATACACACAAAAATAGAGACGAATCGAGAATATCTTCCTTTTTTTAAGTCAGTTGGTAAACATATTTTATTGTCCATGGCTTTCGCAGAAACTAAGTGAGGTTTTTGCTCTTTAAAGTTTCACAATGCATTAGTAATATAAAACCGACGTGTTTGTTTGTTTACTTTATTGATAGTGGTAATAGGTTGCGGGTACACTGAGATTTAGATATCTATCATACCACATCAGCGGTTAAATGCCCACTGCTGGACATGGGCCTCCCCAATAAGGACGATTTTGCCAGACGTTTGCTACATCTGACAGATAAAATGAAAGAAATTTTATTTTACAAAAATATAAGACTACACCCACACAGGGATAAAAAAAAATATTAAGAATTATAATAATGAAACTACACAAAAAAATATAAATAAAGAAAAAAAAAATAAAAAAAATGCGTATTATAACAGTTTCATCCAAAATGAGTGTGTGTGCGTGCGTCGCAATATTTGCAAAATGAGATCCGTGCTCAGCATTTTGCTGTAGTGTCAGGGACACTGCAGCGCTGATTTTCAGCACGAGCCTCGCCAACCCATGGAGTCCTAATAATAACAATAAATTTGTATAAGTTTTATTAATACAGTGGTGTGCTTAAAGTGTATTGTGTATCATATTGTTACAGGCGGGTTAGCAACCATAGGATTTGATAGTATTT